GATGATGACGCTGGTATCAACTTTAGCGGAACCACAATGCAGGACTCCGGTGGCACGCTCGATAACGGCGATGTGGATATGGATGATTTGTTTGGCGATGGCGATGCACAGGATGACCTTTTCGGAGACGACCCAGATCATTCGGATCCTACACGGGAAAATACACAGCACAAAGACGACCCACTCACATCCATCGAAGATCTAGTCTCAGAAGGCTTCAGCGTGGCTGGCCAGGACAAGTCGCAACAGAGCAGCCGCACCAATGCACAAACGGCGACTCAGGAGGAAGAGGAAGAGGAGGAAGACCCAGAAGTACGTGAACAGCTGGCTCTCTTCGCCCAATCTCTTCGCAAGAAGGACGAGTTGGCGGATGCACCTAAAAAGACATCAAGAGAAGAATTTGAGAAGATTTGGCCCAACTTCGAGGCAGACAAACCACCACGTTTTTTTAGCCTCGTACCGCGAAAACGCGCCTTTTACATCCCAAAAGTTCCGCCAAAGGCACCAAGGCCGTTCCAGATGAACAAACTTACTCTGGATATCGCACCAGACCAGGAGAAGAGTTTTCGATTACATCCCACAACCACCGCCAAGTCCGGTCGGCAACAAGAGGAGGAGCAAGGTGGAATCATACAAATCACGAGCACTACAGAAGATGACGGTGATGGGAATGAGCAGATGGATTTCGATCACTTCGATACGATTGACGATCACGAAATGATTGGCAATGTATCATGGAGCGACCTCAGAATTGCTTGTGAGGACTGGGAAGTTCCAGATGACTCAAACGCTGCAATCCTTTCCGAGAATGGTCAAGCACCAACTCCACCCGATAGTGTCAATGCTGGACAGTCACCAAACAAGAAACGCAGACTCGGAGACCACGGCCAGCCCATTCAATTTTCTGTGTACGATCACATCGATTTGCCCACTTGGGACGATCCTGAGCTGGAGACAGCGAAGTTGTCAAAGAAGATTCTCTTGGATATGAACGACCCTCATCTCCTGCTGGACGTACAACAGCCGAGCGCAGAGCCTCCAAAGCCTCGAACATTGGGTCTGGGACTCAAGCGTGATAGTCGCGGTAGTCTCGCGAACCCAATGTTCAAGCGCTACAATATTTCCAATGATGAGGCATATGACGCGCTCAAAGAGAGCAGTCAACAGAAGGTTCGTAGTACTATTGGACACATGAACGTTGAGCACAGTCTACCCGCACTCAAGTTGCAGTATCCGTTCTACAAGGTTGCACTTTCTGATCGCGAACTTCGGTCCTTCCATCGGCCCACTATTACGTTCAAGCCTGGTGAGCGAGCCAGTATCTCGTCACTCAAGTCAGTCAAAAGGAAACACAAGAAAAACCTCAAACCATCGGAGGCCTTCGCCACTGCAGAGGACCTCAACATTGGTGACAACTCAGATCTCCTCCTCGCTGAATACTCGGAAGAGTACCCTACCACTTTGTCCAACTTTGGCATGGGCATCAAGATTCTCAATTACTACCGACGGAAAGACATGGAAGACACGGCACGTCCGAAGCCAGAAGATGGAATTGGAGAAACATCGATTCTGTTACCGCAGGATAAGAGTCCTTTCTCTCTGTTTGGCCAAGTTGAGCCAGGCCAGCAGGTATTGACGCTCCACAACGCCATGTATAGAGCGCCAGTGTTCAAGCACAAGCCTGAAGAGACCGATTTCCTTGTTAGCAGAAGCTGGACTGGGGTTAATGGCCCCAGATACTACATGCGGACTATTCCCAACCTTATGGTGGTTGGCCAGCAGTTCCCATCCGTCGAAGTGCCCGGTACGCATGCCCGAAAGGTTACTGAAGCATCGAAGAAGCGACTCAAGATGCTGGCGTTCAGATTGTACCGAAAGGGACAACAGAGAGGAGCGCGACAACCTTGGGTTAGTAACGAAATGATCAAGCAGCATCTTCCAGGTACTGAAATTGCGCAAAATCGCTCTCGAATGCGCGAAATCATGAAGTACCAGAAGGACATTGGTACCTGGGAGCCTGTGCCCGGTGAGACTGTGCCTGAAGAACCAATTCTACGCACTTGGATAAAGCCGGAAGACGTTTGTCTTATTGACTCCATGCATGCTGGTGACAAGCAGCTTCAGGATGCTGGTATCAAATCGAATGAGATCCGTGATGACGATGATGAAGCAGACAACGAAAACGCTGATGTCAAGTTGGCACCATGGAACACCACGAAGAACTTCTTGAACGCATGTGCCGGCAAGGCGATGCTGGAGCTTCATGGAGAAGGTGACCCTACTGGACAAGGCTTGGGTTTCAGTTTCATCAAGGTCTCGATGAAGGGTGGCTTTAGGGATGTTGGTGAGAGTGCCGCTGATCGACTTGACAGCAAGAAGATGAAGGAGCTTGGCGGTCACAGCTACAACGTACAGCGCCAGCAGGTTATGTATGAGAACGCCATCAAGCGTATCTGGAACAAGCAGAAAGAGAGTCTGTCTGCTCAGAACCCGCCTTCCGATACCGAGGACGATGTCGATACGGCCGTGCCTCGCAACAATCTCCCACGCCAACGCTCTGAGATGGGAACGCCAGCTACAATGCGCCATGACGATGAGACAATGTCACAAATGTCTCGCAATAGCAATGCAGACAATCGCGGCAAGAAGCTCAAGATCACACGAACTATCAAGAACAAGTACGACGAGTATGAGGACGTCACGGAAATTATCACAGATCCAGCTGTCATTCAACTCTACATCAAGCACAAGCGCCAAGAGCGTCTGCTGAACATGCGTATCGAAGATATCAAGCCCACCGGCGACCCCGAAGTAGACAAGGCCCAGCAGATCAAGCTCAAGGCCGAACTTGCCCGTCTGGCCCGCAACATAGAACGTCGCGAGGGCCGCGAAAAGGCAAAGGGTCTACACAAATCGCAGACAGGAGAAGGAGGCGTAACCGGTGGTCCAGGAAAGGGTGGAGCAACACCTCGCAAGTGCGCTAACTGCGGCGAGGTGGGCCACATCAAGACAAACAAAAAGTGTGTTAACAAGTTCTCTGAAATTCCTCTCACTCTTTTATCATTTGGATCGTTTTTTGCTAACAATGTTTCAGGCTATGTCCTCTTCTTAATGGCCAGAGGAAACAAAACGACACTTTCAAGGATGCGAATGCTGCATCACCGGCTACTGCTACTGTTCCTGCCACTCCTTCTTTTGCTGGTTCGCCGTCTTGAAATCGGGAGCGGTCTTGGAGATCGTGTTTATGGGTCTATCTCTTATCGCGATGGTGTAATGGCGGTTCCGTGGCACTGCTACTCGTCAGCTTTGCGTTCACGTTGGTATGAGACGGAGACGTGGTACAAGTATCACCTTTCCAACAAGCGCATTTGCGCTATGATGTGCTGAGTAGCAATGAGGACGGCTCCTTCGTGTACATGCAAGTATGGAAAGGAATATCATGCTTGCCATCTCACTGATCCAGGGCTGGGTTGTTTGGGCTTTACGGAAGGTGTGGTGAAGCGCTGAGGAAGTGTGTTACATATTATTCTTTCTTTCTTTCTCTCTTGAGAAGAGAGTTTTCGTTCGAATGCATAGCGACGGTGTTTTGGGACGCTGCATTTAATCTTCATCACGCAAAAAGGGACACATATTTATAGTTGTCAGTCATTAGGAACTGTACAGGCAGAAAACCGAACCCGAGTCAGACAGGGAAGTTATCAACTATTAAAGAGCCGTAGGGTCGAACAGGAGGTTATAAGACAATTTGTCTAGTGAACATCCTATTTATTTTCCTCCTCCATCTCGAAATCAAAGTCTCCAAAATACACACATAGAGCCTACCTTCATTAGTATCGCTATTAAGATCATGATAATCTATTTTCACTTACCTTACTAGCACCCATCATAGCATAATGTGCCACCTCGAGCTTCTTGCCATCCTGACCATATCTGGCAATTTGATTGAGATCCGACGTCCTCGGCAGATACAATACCACTTCATTGCTCACTTTGGTAAAGGCTTTGTAGAGCTGGTCAAGATTATACGGCTCCATCTTTGTAAGATCAAAGACATTCTCTGCACCATACTCGGTCCCTGTACCCTATCAGCAATGCATATCAATAAAACGGCATTCCCAATACAAACCTCCCCACGGCGGACTCGCAAACACTACGACATTCTTCTGGCCGGAAAACCTATTGATAGCATCGAAGCAATCGGCATTGAGCCAGAAAATCTTGTTGCTCACCCCGTAAATCTCGGCATTGTGCTTTGCGCACTTTAGCGTCCTCGCATCTTTCTCAATCGCAAACACGCGTTCCCACCGGCCAGACCGCGCAAGCGCAATGGCGTTGCCGCCTACGCCCGCAAACGCGTCGACAATGACTGTTTTTTCTTTAGGTGCAGACTCGGCAATGTGCGCGGCTATCTTGTTGGCTATGGGTTCTGGGGTTACGCCGAACCAAGCGTCTTCGGTCATCCAGATGCCTTGGTCATAGTTTTCCCAGATTTTGAAGCGTTGGAACCAGTATCTGTGCGACCATTAGAACTATTTTTTATTTTTGAAGAGATCACGTCATAAGTGAATATAAGGGACGGGGGAGTAAACAATACTTTTTGAGGTGTTCGGGGAATTGCTCGACGCGGGACCACTGGTCTACGTCGTTCTCATCTGCGTTGTCGCTCATTTTCTAAGAAAGTAGTTTCTCACTGCTTGAAAGCACTGTAGTCACAGAGACCACACACTGAAAGTTTCAAAACAAAAGAAAAAAAAAGTTCAAGTTGCGTAGTCGAAAGATAACCAAGCGCGGTAAGACAAACCACAATAGTTCCTAAACCCCACCTTACCTCATCCAGCCTAGCCCCACCCCCAGCACACGGATTCCCCTTTGCCTGCACTTGCGTCAAGCCACATGTTATATCGACAGACCGTCCAACACCCAAACTCCCCACCCTCCACACACATCACCTCAAACCAGCAATCACAACATCACACACACATACACTCTCTATCCAGGCCATGTCCGTCTTTGGCGCCCTAAACCGCTTTATATCGCGGCTCGATGCCGCACCCCTCCCCGACGACACCGGCACGCAGCACCAATCGTCGACGAATGGCGCGTACGGCTTCCAGGTGCTGCGCAATGCTAATTTGGAGATTCCGCTTGAGCCGTGGTTTGATTTTGTGATTGGTATTAATGGGAGGACTATTGTGAGTTCACCTTTTTTTTTTGAATATTCTTCGTAGTGTAAACTGTTTTGGTTATGAGGGGGGGGGAGATGGGAGAGAGAAAGCGTAGGTGTAAAGGGCGAAGGGGGGAAGGAATGCCCAGACGGAGAAAAAATGGATGTAGTTCAAGGGAGAGTTGTGCTTTAGAACAGTGTATGTTTTTTATTTTATTTTATTTTGCTAATTTGACATTTCTTGCACAGGATAATCCGGATCCCAATCTCTTTACGACAGAGGTACGCAATTGTGCCGGGACAACTATTAGCTTGGGTATTTTCAGTGCAAAGGTACGTTCCCATTATGTTTCATTAACGGCGGCGGCTGCGGCTCTTTGGGTCTGTGTCCTTCTTCTTTCTCTTGGTCGACTAAATACTTGGAGCCGCATTAAGTGCGTCATATTTCACGGGAGATTTTGCTTTTATGCAACGGGTCAATTTCCCAAAAGCATATTTTTTGGGCCAAAAAACGTCCCGAGCACACGTCAACCCGGTTGTCATGGCTAAGCTTTTTTACTTTGATTGCTTTTATTCTTTATCTATTTATTTTTGATTTCCAAATTAAATGGGGAATCTAAACTAAAGCCGTTGTGTAGGGCCAGAAGATTCGCGAAGTCTATCTTCAGATCCCAGCAGATCAACCCACGCTAGGAATCGCCCTGCAATGGTCACCACTCGCCGTTGCAGAAGATGTCTGGCATATCCTGGATGTAGCCCCGAACTCGCCCGCAGATGCCGCAGGACTACTTCCCTACGGTGACTACGTCATTGGCAGCCCCGAAGGTCTCGTGCGCGGCGAGTCTGGACTCGGCGAGCTTGTCGAAGACTTTCTAAACAGGCCGTTGAGACTCTATGTTTACAACCACGAGTACAACGTGACCCGGCCCGTGACTATTACGCCGACGCGAAACTGGGGCGGTGAGGGTGCATTGGGTTGCGTCCTCGGTTTCGGTGCGCTGCATCGTATTCCAGCCGGTCTAGACGAGCCTCCGCCAGCTCCTGGGGAAACCTTCTTCTCGGCAGGCGATGCTAGCGGAACTACGTCGTTTGACGAAAAACGTCCCTTGGTGTCTTCCATGGGCATTCCTGCTCAGTCGGGTGCACCAGCTGAGCTCTTCGTCCCAGCCAACATGGCGCTACCGGCCAAGTCGCCTCCTCCCCAAGGCACCGCACCCCCGCCTAAAAAGAAGGGCAGAGCGCACCATGTGGCCAGTACGGCGACTGGTGGCGGTGGACTGGATGACTACTTCAAGGAAGGCGAGCAGAAGAGTCTGGAGCAAGATTATGCACCGACGAAGGGCAGCGGCGTGCCTCCTCCGCCCAAGGCTGGTGGTCCGCCTAGAGGACCTCCAAAGAGTGGTGGTGCAAGTAGAACAGGTACACCACTGCAAGGCGGCGGCGGCGATGCTGAGAGTTCAACTGGCGCTGGTACAGAAGAAACAGCATGATTAGACTACATTGAATGTTAGTAAACAGTCAAACTTGCTCGTTTCCAACGTAGAAATACCACAATTGGAAATCCAAAAGAACCAAAAAAAAAACATACCTTTTAAACACCAACCATCCTTTTTCCCTTTTCCAATCCTTCTTCACCATTTCATTCTTCAGCTTCAAAATCCAACTCCTCCCTAAACCGACTCGTCCGCTTCGTCATCGTCACCATCTTCCTTTCCACAACACTCTCGTTACTGCCTCCGCCCCCATGATGCGTCATAAACGAGTCTGTCCGCCCTTGCGCCTGCGGCCGCTCTCCTGCCGTGGCATCGACGGCCGTCGTGCTGCCTGAGGCTTGCTTGCGGCCGCTTAGTCGCTCGAATGACGACAAGGGAGATGAGGCTTGGGGCGAGATGGGGGATTGGACGGGTGTGGTGTCTGGGGAGGAGGAGGCGGAGAGTGAGGTTTTGAGTTTGGTGGTTAGGGTGCGGAAGATGGGCATTTTGTCGGTATGTGTGTGTGTATGTGTAGTGTTCAAGTTGTTGTTGTTGGGTTGTTGTCGTTGTTGTAGTCGTAATGATGGTGGATCCCGTGTGTGGAGCGTGTGTGCATGTATTGAAATGGTCGCGTGTGTGTGTGTGTACGTGTGTATGCGCGTAATAGGGGTGGGTGTGTGTGTTGGGATATCCAAGGAAGTTTATATGTATCAGGTATAATATTGACCGAAGGTATGTAAGAGAGAACAAAAGGTTCTAGACTTCTAGACTCTTGGTTTTTTTTTTAAAAATCCCCCGTTCCAGGTACAGACGGCAAGGTTAATCGCCCAACGGAGAGCGGATCTGTATACCGGGATGGGGCGGCGGTAGCGGGGAACACGGTACGAGGGGGCCAAACGGGAGGGATACGAAAAGGTTAATGCAGAAACACGCGAGGGCACAACCTCGCACCTAAATACCTTTTTTTATTTATTTTTGTTTCCTTTCGCCTGCCTGGCCCTGCCCGCCACCACCATATGCAGCGTAAGATAGAAAGAACCCACCCCCTCCCTAATTTAGAGGGCACGCGAGCGGAGCGAGGGGCGGCGGCGGACATATGTCAGGGGTGTGCGTATGTGTGACTTTCAAGCGTTACCCGCACTTGCCCTTGCCCACCCCGCCAGCCGCCCTCCTTGCCTAATTTCCTTAACTGAACTAGTAACTAATTACTCCACAACACGCAAGCATACACACTGACATACCACATGGTCAACCGCTCCGCTGTCCGCCCCCGTGTTCCCTGTAATGGAGGGAGGGGGGCTGGCCAAGCGCCAATCAGTAATGCAAAGAAGGTAAGACGGCGGCGGTGGTGGATCTCTCTTAGCACAGGGAACCTGCCGTTTGAAACTACTGCGCGTCTTTATTGACCAAAAAAACTCGAGGGTACAAATACATTAGGCGCTACTTTTTGGCGTTTTGGCCTGGTGGGCTCCGGTATAAAGCTAGCAGTGTTGGGGTTGGATTGGTCCTGCCCAGCCTGGCCTGGTATCGGTGGGGTTGTGTCATTCCTTTTCTTTCTTTGGCGGTTGGTTGCCGCAGAGAGTAAGGAGGAGGGGGGACCCACAGCGGCTACAGTAGTAAGTAAGTAAGCACATGTTTGTGTGTGTGTGTGTGTGTGTGTGTGTCGTGCGTTTTGCCTTGCATGCCCCAAGGATTATTGAAAGTGTGTGTGTGTGTGCCGGTCGGTGTGTGGGGTTGGGGCATCTGCAAAGGCCAGGCCCTGCGCTAGAAGCGCCGATCGGGTCAACTGGGGGCTTGTTTTTATGTAGTATGTGTTTCGTTTATTTGAAGTTTCCGAGAAAGAGACAAAGGTTCCGCGGCGGGGAGCAAGGAACGGAGACAGGGGACGGACGGAAAGGAAATGAATAACGGTTGCCCAGGATGTGTTGTCTTCTTGTTTCTACATGAACTGTGGAGATGTTTGTTTTATGGGGAGAGGGGGGAAGGGTGTGTGCATCGTGGGAAAATGGGAGCAGCATGACAATGACATGGCATTTGCATGAGCTTTGCACAAATCAAGATGGATTGGTCGGCACATGACTTGTGAGATTGGCGACGATCTGCAGTTGCATGGCGGTATCATCAAGAAGCAGAAGCGCTTCTCTCGTCAAAACCCCGTCAGCTGGTCTTCGCCCGGTATCATTAGTCTGATCTGCACCGAGCCATATCCGGACGGCGGCTTGTTGACACTATGTCCTTTGAGCCAAGTGTAGCGATTGGCTTGCAAACAAGACTATATGTATTTAACGTGTATTAGGAGACGGGCTTGGCTTTTCCATGCTCGGACAAAGAAGCTTCCCTCCCGCTCACTTCACCGCCATATGTACTTTGCCGGCATCTGCGTCCCTTCTGCCATTATTTGCTTGTTCCGTGATTGGCCCAATCAGGAAACAAAGTGTGATTGGTCTGACAACAGGAAACATTGACGAGAGGTAGAGGTCATGCGCACCCTCCATACACGCAACAAAACGATAACCCCTCCTTTTTCGATGGCCACGAATCGCAAAACTTGCCAGCAGGCAGGCGATTTTGGTCTTTCTTGACTACAGTCCAGAGTCCGGTCTGAGGAGCGGCGTCGCGTAGGTGTGCTCGAATCGTTACTTCCGAATTCGTCATGGCTCTTTTATCCGGATGACTATTATAACCGCCAATCGATACGAATCAGTCAACGCTTTGTCCGTGCAGCAGACAGTGGCGGCGGCAGCTGCCCCCTTTGTTCGCCATTCTCCAGCAGCCGACTATACGTATCCTAACGTTGATTTTCCGGGACCCAAGACGCCCGTTCAGCCCAAGCCCCCCACATCGCTTCGTTCCCTGCAGTAGGCAACGGCCAAAATAGATATCTTGCTGCCGGCTTTTTGCGACCAGCCGAAATCCTACCAGCTATTCCTCTCTTGCTCATCATCCGCAATCTCCCCTCTCGTGTTCTTCACTCTCAACAGAGTCTGGCCATTCTAGACCGATCCTACGCCTTCATCGTATCAAGAGTAAGCGTTTCGTTACGATAGTAGTTTGGCCTTGGCATGGACGCCCACTTCCCAACACCCGTGAACTGACATGTGACGTATACTTAGCTCCTGACACTCACAGACTCCCGCCCGCATTAAACCACGGCTCAGTCACCGCATCTTTTTTCCTTTGCCGAATCGGCGCCGCCCCAGCCTCACCACCACTCTGTCACGAGGGCGGGTGCCGAGCTTTTTTGATGCTGACGTAGCCTAGGATGATTATGTGGAAGACAGAAGCTCGAGTCCATTGCATAGTGCATGCTTGACGGCTTGATTATCGGATCTGTGCTGTGCAGGCTGGAGAGACCAAAACATCATAGCAATGTGCATATCCGCACTTGACTTGTATTCGCAGACGTAATCTATCTCTGCATCTCTTCATTCATCATGACTGCAGCACGGAGGACTTTCCGTTCCTTGATGCAGTATTTCAACCTGCTTTTGAGTAGTGCTTACTTGCACTGCTCTTGAAAAGTAAATATAGTAAAACGCCGTCCAATCCGTTGTCCTAATAATGCTGGAGAAAACGCCGGGACTTAGATCCAAGGCCCAGGAAACGTGTGGGGGGCCGTAACAGAACGCCAATAAGCAATACCAAGATCAAAAATCGCAGAAAGTCCAAACCGTTTCATCTAATGTCCAGCTGGAAGGGCTTAAACTTGGCTCCAATGGTGCTGCACCGTGGGCATGTCGGAGCGCGACCGCGATTATGCTCGCTGACCAGAACGTCGACGCACTCCTGGCACAGACCGCAGATGCATTCAGAGCATGCATAGCTGTCGCGCAATATGGACAGCTTCCGACAGGCAGCGCAGTATATTTGAACAGGAAATAGGGAGTTGGGAGACGAGTCAGAAAGGCCCTGCGAGGGCATATGAAAATTGTGGCCAGACATTGCTGATTCAATCGATGACTCGACAGAGGGAAAGGGCTGCAGATCCGACATGTCCGGCGGTGGAGGCGTCAAAGCATTGTTCAAGGGGGATGCGGTGTATGACTGGAGTTGTGAAGCAAAGTTGAAGGGTGGCATGGATGTTCGACTGTTCATCATGTGGGGTGAGTGATTGGGTGATTGCGGCACCTGGTTACGTCAGCTTTGATCATAAACCAGAGTGAGAAACCTACAGGGGTCAGGTCACGGCTATCCTCTTCAGTTGCTGAAGCAGCAGCGTCAATGAGGTCTTCCCACCGTTTGCCCATAATGGCAGCTGCTGTTGCAGGCTCAGCCGAAAATGCTTTTCGGTCATAGCTCATTCTCCGACTGTGCTCTTTTGATTTCTGGCGTTCATGTTTCCCTCGACGAGCATTCTGCCCTATGGATGGCTTGCGAGGCCGGTTCGGCTTAAGAGAGTGAGCTCCCGGAGGCAGAGTGGAAGAGCGACCGGGAGGCGAGCGCGCGAGGGAAGATGGCAAGAGCTCTTGCTGGATAGAGCCAGAGGTATAGTATGGTTCTTCGGTATTGCTCGGTGGGCCTACGGGGGTTGGGGCAAAGCGCGCGCGGGGCCTGAAGTTCTTCGAGTCTGGGTCGGATGCTGCGTCCTGTTCACAGCATGTGTTAGCCTTATGGTATGCAGGGAACGCTGCAGTGCGGCTTCTTACCGGATCTGAATCCCAGTCATACTCTGCACGGTGATTGTGTAACGAGGCCAGGGCAGCCGCAGCAGTCGCGGTAGGCAGTAGCGATGGCCGACGCGTTTCGCCAGGCCCTCGAAGAGAATTGGCACCGAATTCGGACTCGAAGAAGGAATTGTGTTCATTATTGCTGTAATCATACGTTTGTGGGGCTGTCACTGCCGTCGTTGTAGGGGGAGGAGGAGCTCGTTCTTGCGGTGGTGTATTGACCATTAACAGAAAACTTTCCTACGAGCGAGCAGATGATATTAGCATGTAATGTGGCTAATTTTTTTTTTGATATTCTGAAAGCTCATACCTCTGTTGCTGGAAGCTTGGAAATATAGTGCTCTGGGTGAGCACGTCGAATGTGCTCTTGCATAGAGCGAAAGCGCTTCTCCTACACATGGTGGATTAGTCGGCAGCTGGGGCAAGGGGAGCTTCGAGGCGTGGGATGACGTGGGGTAGCTAGCTCTCGTGGGAGACTTACGCCGGTACAGCGCTTTCGGCAAGCTGAGCTATCATGGTTGCGCAGCGGGCAGACGACGACGTTGTTCTCGTCACTGACGGAGAAGGAGCTCGTAAGCGGTGCTGCGCGCGAAGGAGGCATGGCTGCAAGCATCAACGGCAGAAGCTTCTCGGAGAAGCAAAAATTGCGCGGGAAGCTCTAAGGCGGGTGAGGGAAGCTGTGTACGGAGGGCGCGCAGCTTCCAGCTGGTCGCGGCGACTACAGGCAAGGTGTGTCGAGGAGCTCTCTGGCTCACACTTAGTGGAGGAAGCTCTGAGCTGAAGTTGCTGCCAACTGCAGACAGAAGGGCAGGCGGATGCGGGGCAGCTACGCAAGGCCG